AAAAAAAAATTGTATATATATACTTTTTTAACACCTTGAATTTCAGGGGGGTCACAGCGCCCCTCCAAGACAATGATAGGGGAAACACTGGGTAGTCTTATTGTAAAGTGGTACCGAAAACACTAACTCGAAGACGGTATGGGCTCTAGCAATGTTTAAAGACTGGTTAATGGAAAAGTAAATGTGAATACTTTGACAGTAATAGAAAACCTCTACCGTCATTTTGTGTATCTCTATAAAATGGAAGAACCGTCGCTGCAGTTCAAACTGTGACTAAGCAGAAGAACGGACTACTTTTCCTCCCCCCCTTTTGTAATCAATACAATCATGTTCAAATGGTTCTGCTGTGTCAAATTGTTGATTTATTTATAGAAATAGCCATGTAATAAGTGGGATAATAGGAAACCTCACAGAGTTCCTTTGGCTATATGGACTGGCTTGCTGCATACTACCCTTTATTTGGCTGTTATAACAGTTCCAATATCCTATCCTGACCAAAATGTGTTATTTATTCAAATGGTCAATGGACAAAAAAAGACACCAAGCAATGATTGGACCACAAATGAGACAACAAACATAGCACATTACCTGGCAATGCTCCAGTCCGGTTCAATCCTCAGGACGGTGGGGTCTTCAGTGTAGTTAAACTTCACCTCAGGGTTTTGGAGCTCAGCGTCATCGATGTCCACAGTGACTAACGCACTGCTCACTGCTGATCCAGCTGGGGTAATGCACACTATCTCATTGGCATTCCTCCTGGAAGGACAGACAAAAGAAAAGTTGGATGATCCCAAATCAGAAATGCATTGGACAGAAAACACTTTCAACTCAGAGAGATTCTACATTTCCTCAGAGCCCTAAGGCACACTGTGAAGACAGATTTCTACAATATCATCACAAACTGTTGTGATATTTGAAAGATATTGGAGTCCTCCTGTCTCACAGGAAATGTCTAATACATAGAGCGATGCAGGATACAAACAAGATTGCAGAGAATGGTGGGAGCCCCTCTGCAACAGCCTGCAAAGAAGCGGTCCAGAATAATCTGATAATCACCTTTAAAACTGAATTATTATAATACAGAGGCAATGATTAGTTTCTAGTTCCAGCGACTGTCCCTAAATACTGGGGTCCGATCTGAAGCCATGACATATTTAATGACTTGCTCATTGTGCTTGTAATTACCATTGTCCAGTCTGGAAAGTCAATTAGTCTCTCCCTCTCAAAGTCATATTGTAACCTGCTAATTTGATTAGATAATCCCATTTGTGAGCAATGCACTTCAGCAAGTCAAATCCTTTCTGGCCTGCTGGGTCACAGGGATTACAGCTGTCTCATAAAGTATTTATTTTTGGTTTTTACTGCAGTAAAGCTCTTTGAATTAATTTGTTAAGTTTCCAGCCTTTTTATTGTGATATCCAAAAATGTGTACTTATAACAGTTTGAGTTTAGCAACAATATACATGTTGTGTGCATGTTACTGTCTGTGGCTGCACTAACACATGGCATTAAGAGGCATTTGTTCTTGTTTAAATTATATATTTCTGCATATTATGCAAACTAGGTATGTATGCAAGGCTTTGCTAGATGTATTTTTATTGACAAAACAAATTTTTTATTTATATTTTGAAATTCAAATCATTTACTCTTTCAGACTCTCTTCGAGTTTTTTTTGTAGTATATTTTATGGCTGGTGTAAGCCATCCTCTACAGCAGGGGTGCCCACACCTTTTCAGCTTGGGAGCTACTTTTAAAATGACCAAGTCAACATGATCTACCTACGTTAAAAATGCTAAACATATATTTATGTATATATATATATATACACTGAGTATACCTTATGTTGGTGTACCTTGCATAACTGCATGAACCCGTATGGCACAATACAACTCAGTACATTTTTGGTCAGTATGTCAATTGTATACCCTTTCTTTCGTAAAATAAATTGGATGGCTAACTAGGTAATCAGCCCGCCGGTGATTTGCAGCTGGCGCAGTTGACCGCAAGTGGCAAATGCCCTAGTAAGGATGGATGATAGGCAAACTTTCTTCTTCTTTTTTTTTTCAATGCCATGCGATCTACCCACACTACCTTTGATCGACCGGTCGATCGCGGTCGACGTATTGGGCACCCCTGCTCTACAGTATGTGTTTATTAATTTATGAATGTATTTGTTTATTTATGTATTTATTCATTTATTGTATTTATTTATTTCAAAGTGTTTTGGAGCAACCACTGCCTTTATGTACGTGACAGTGTTGAAAGGGGGAAAAAGAGGGCATGACACGCGGCAAATGGTGCAATGGTATGGCATGTACCACATTCTTTTTTAGAAAGGAATGAAATGTGAGTTTTCAATGTAGGGAGAGCCACATACAACAATGAGAAACAAGTCATGTGAAGTCATGTTTAATGAAGTTTATGCCTAGTATGATTGGCGCACTGTCAAGGCTCAACAACACCAGTCGATAAACACTGGGGGAGCCTATGTGTCTCTGCATGTGTGTGTGTGTGTGTGTGTGTGTGTGTGTGTGTGTGTGTGTGTGTGTGTGTGTGTGTGTGTGTGTGCATGGATGTCCCATAGGCAAAAAACAAATTGCAGTCCCCAGTAGCTTCTCTATCTAATATGTATTTAGCACAGTTGAGTGGTTGCTCTTTTCTGGGCCATGACTTCACAGGAGCAGTGTGTGTGTGTGTGTGTGTGTGTGTGTGTGTGTGTGTGTGTGTGTGTGTGTGTGTGTGTGTGTGTGTGTGTGTGTGTGTGTGTGTGTGTGTGTGTGTGTGTACACTTTAATGTAGTGTTGTAAATTCCATTGTGCCTCAATACGCCATGACAGTCACACGGAGAGGGAGAGTGTGACAGAGAGTGAAAAAGGAAAAATCTCCCTTGTCCAGTCACCATAGCAACCCCATTCACAAAGACACACATGTCCCGGAAACCTTCACAAGATGCCACAAACACGGTCACACAGTTAGGGTGTGACAGATAAGGACAGAGTTGCTGTGTTGAAGTGGAATCTGCTGGATTACTGCGAGCACAGGAATGATGCAGTCACATCAAAACTAGCATACGGCGGCTTCAACAGAGATTAGCTGTGAGAGGCTAATCCAGGCATTTGACAAGCAAGTGTGTTGGTACTCTGGATTAGCACGACATGCTAACCTTACACAATGATGACATGTCATATATTTGTGATGTCCTGCAGTACACACACGCTCACACACACAGAACATGTTCATTTGTGCACATGTTTTCTTCATCTATTAATAACCTTTTTTCTTGATTATGAACTTATGTTACTATTTTGAGTACTAATTTTTGTATTATGCTTATCTTAATTATATTCTCCTTAATAGGAAAATAGAATCCCCTCACTAGGATATTTAAAATAAAATGTTCAAGTAAGACAACAAAAACAATGGTTCAAGATAGATGTCACTCTGTTAATGAAGAAATCAAAGGTGTCCAGTTGAGGTGTTTCAGGCTGGGTGCTAAGACTTTGGGATTTTAGACTTTGCTGAACATTTACATGCACTCAAACCTATGGTCCTTACTTTTTGAAGTAGCAGGGCTGCTGTCCGATGCCCACTGAGACGTAGCTGCCTGCGTTGAGTGAACTTCCCTCGATGGTGACCCGGGTGCCCCCAGAGATGGGCCCTTGAGAAGGCTGGATACGGGTGAAGAATGGAGTCTGGAGGAGAGGGAGTAACATTTATTTTCACTTAGTAAATATAATCAAATTGGTTGAGTCTCGGTTATTCCCAGAAATGTTACAAGAAACATCAAGAAGACTTCAAGGACCACAGCCTTTACATGTATATTCTAAACATAAATGACATATGTTCACTGGACTACGATTCAATCAATCATGTCAATTTTTTTTGATCTGTAATTTCAATGCACCTTTTAGAGTATTCATATTTTCAGATGACATCATAATCAATGATGAGATGCCTTAGTTACAGACATTTTTTTAATAAAAAACACTTCAATCTGTAGTAACTTAAAACAGAAATACTATAAACCATCTATGGGGCGTATTTTGACTTTTTAAACTGAACCCTTTGCTCAGTTACTAGAGACATGTCATGAAATAATGATATTTCTTTGGTCATCACGGTCTAAAAAAACATACTATGCGCTTTCACACCGCAGTACTTTTCCCACTTTAGTTCCGATATAGTTCCGAAATGTTGCGAACTTCACACCAAAAAGATCCGGAACAAAACTTAGTTCATGAGAACCTTTCACCCCCTTTTCCGTCCCTGCTAGAGAGCAGGTACGTTCGTGGGAGAAAAAGGTTCCTATTTCTGATTGGCTGGGCGGAATGCAAACCACGCCCCGTAAAACTCCCAAAACGTTTTGTGAAGCCGCCATTTTATTATCCTGGCATTAGTATTATTAGCATTAGCCCAGCGCACAAACGCAGAGAGACTAACTTATGGCAACACAAAAGAAAACATGGAAGAGGTGGAGATGAGGAGGTGTCGGCATTCTGGCGAATTACAGCAGCTTCTACTGAAGCCAGTCCCTAACTCCGGGGACTTCCGGCCGGGGACTTCGGGTGGCAGTATACGCCGTGAAGTTGTTTGCGGCCTGCCAGTAAACCCAAAGCAGAAGAAGAAGAAGTGACGTCAGTGGCTTCATTTGCCTAATCCTCCCTCAGGGACTTATTCCGGTGTGAACGCGATCTGTACTTAGTTCATGAAAACTAAAGAGTTCTCATGAACTAAGCTCTGATGAAGCTTTGTGGGAAAAGTACTGCGGTCTGAAAGCGCCTATAGACTCTTTGTATGGTGCTTACCACAAAGGTAAAGGGCCTGGGCGACAGCGCTCTGTAGTCGTTGACGCAGTCCCTCACACACACCTCCACCGGGGCTTCCTGTACCCTGTAGCTGGTGGCGTCGTTCAGCAGACACACTATTCTGTGGTTGGAGAGGTAACAAGTCATTACCAAATCTCTAAAATCGTACCAAATGCTGCTTTTAAATTGGTCGCTTCCTAAGGCATTATAGCTTGCAGTCCCAGTATGTGGTAAATTTTTTATTTGATAGGGACAATGCAATTAAACATAACCTGAAAATGATGGGCTGAACAGAGACCTTAGATATGGCTAATTCTGAACTATTGGTCCTTCTCATGTAGTGCAGTTAAAATATAGAGCTTTTAGAATTATACAACCACACAACTCTACAGATATGAAATTACACACAATACATATACCACAATTTATAGTCCAATGAGCTATTAATGGGTATAGAACTCGGGTTTGCTTTAAGCCAGCACTTAATCTGTGTTGTAAAATATTTTTATTTCTGGAATTCATTTTATTTCAGGGAGTTATGTGTTCCAGAGATGAAAACCCTTTATGGAGAAGCTGAGTGTCCATAACTATATTTTACAGGTTCTGTTAATCAAGACGTTTTTTTTTTTTAAATCTAGTATGGATTTCGCCTCCATGTGCTTTAGGCTTCATATTGTATGCATTGTAACATGTTACTAAACTAGATTTAATCTGTGTTTCAGGAGGAGTGACAGGCGGAATCAAAGAAGCAGGAAGAAACTAGCAAAGAAGGAAGGGAAGATATTAAATAATATATCTTACACATGCTAAAGTGTTGCATGGATGTCAGGAAGAATGTGCAAAATAACTGATGTGTGTGTAATATTTGAATAGAGATGCTCTCTATCTCAACATGCGTCATTTCCCAACTAAGTGCACTACAGAGAGATTGTTTGATCTGTGTGAACTCAATTCCTCAGCCATGTAGGACCCTGCAGAGGAGTAAATGTCAGGATGAGAAAAATAAAGAAAAGAGCATATGTAGGGAGTAATGGAGGGGAACAACAGATGGAATTCACACACAAAGACAACCCTATTACCACCATCCATCCAGCTGCTGAATGCTCCCACATAAAAACGTGTTCTGGTTGAGGTGCCATTGTCACAGTGTGTGAATGTTCTTCTGTGCTTGTGAGTGTGTCTTCTGTCCCTGAACGTACCTCTCTGCGCTCACATACTCCTCCTCGATGGGGACGCAGGGCACCTTGCCCAGTCTGACGCCCATCTGGATGTCTCTGAACTGCAGACCCAGGTTCTCCCCCAGGATGGTCAGCCGGGTGCCCCCTTGGCGAGGCCCCGTCTCAGGGAACAACTGGAACAACAAGAGGGAGAAGGAGGACATTATTGATAAAAAAACAAATGCTATGTCATTCGCTGAGTATGCAAAGCTTTGAAATGTTACATGTTGATTGATTTCTTCTTTCATGATTTCATGTATTTTATTTAGCAAATGAAATCAGTAGTAAATAGGTATTATTATCAGAAATGTACCATGAACAAATTAAGAAGTAGAACAATTCCACAGAAATAAATACATATGATTACAGGATTCAATCAATCATGTCCACTCACTTGATCTGTTATTTCAATGCAATAGATTTTTTAATATTTAAGATATTAAATGTCGTGTTATTCACTCAGTTTAATGCTAATGGATAATATGCAAAGCTTTACATTTTCCATTTATTTTCCATTTTCCATTACCTATATTTAGCTTATATGGATTATTTGGGTCATTTTTATTTGAAATGTTGAACTTTTCATTTGAATTCTTCCATTTTCTTCTTCTCAAATACAAAAAAGAGACAAAAGAGCAATAAGATCAAGGAAATAGAAACATAGTGTTATGTGCACACGTGCGTAAACACACACAAAAACAAACTAAGGCCAGAAAATGTATCCATGCTATCATAAACTCTTCCCATTCAAATGGTTTAAAGTCTGAAAATGGTTCCCAGACATATACACACACTATAAAGAAACCTCAACACACCATACAAACATTCACACACACCCCACCAAATTGCCCCTAACAGGTGATTTCAGTTTTAATGAAGAAAAATCACACTCTCGGCTTTTGAACGCACTACAAAAGTGAGATAGAGAGAGGGTGGGAAAGAAATAACAGAATCAAACAAGTTCCGACCAAAGGCATCATCTGAGGGCTCTAATTGAAAGTTATTTCGCCGGCTTGGCTTCAGCGGTGAGGCTGTGGCAGTGTAACGCTCAGCCGCGCCGCCCAAAAGCGTAATGTGATTTATCTGGGCAGATTATAGCGCGTAACGGGAACAGGTGTGGTGTGACAAAACAAATATGGTGACTGATGGACGGAGGATGTCGCAAACACACACACACTACGGTGCGGACACACACACCTAATCCCTAACAAGCATCACAAGGTAATTATGTTTAATCTGTCCATTGCCCTGTTCTCCTGCACTGCTTGGCTGAGCAGACACGAGTGTGGAAATGCAAACTCAAGACCTGACAGTATGGAGGCATGTGCTATCATATTTCCAAGGAGGGTGCCAAACAACACACCTTGACAAGTGTGGACTAGTTTGGGGAATGAAGGGTTTGACGGAAAAAGAAACCTCTTGATTGCACCTTGCATTGAACCATCACTCTTTGTTAGCTAATGAGCAGGCAGCGCCACTGGAGAACGTGGAGGTTAAATGCCTTGCTCAAGGATACTTCATCGGTTGTCACAAGAAGAAGAGCAATTGATAAAAAGCTAACCAGATGGTACGGGGTTTGCAATTGCAACCCTTAGTTTCTGCATTGCCAAACATATGGAGTATCATTTTCCACAGAGATACAATTAAAAAGCTAAATTAAAGCACAAAACTGGGATAAGAGGTGGAAATTGGCAAAATGAAAATGAAAGACCTTAACTCAGAGATAAACTGAAAATGACAACAGGAATTAGAGACCATATTATGCTTTGTTGGGGTATTCCCTTTCCTCTAGTGCAGTGGTTCTCAAATGGGGTACACGGACCCCTCTGGGTACGTTGGAGTACCGCAGGGGGTACGTGAGATTTATTTTATGTTAATGAAAAAAACAACATAAGTAATGCATTTAAACAAACTACTAATAGTAGATTAACTACCTGACAGCCCGTCAGTCTCGTGCAGCTCGCTGAACCTGTAATAAGTGACCCGACAGTAAAGAATACACATATTTATAACTAGTTTAGCTAGTTCCAGAGTAGATAAACTACTTAACTGTGTTAGGTCTAACTCTTAGTGTATTTCATTTTGCTCCACTCAACGGTCCGTCACAGCGGCGGAGCTTTGATCCGGAAGAGCTGCGTGTTCTCCGTCAGCAGCAGCTGATCTGATCTCTGATCTCTCTCTCGCGGCCGGTTAGACTTCACTCGCGTTTATGTCCAAATCTATCAGATCTAGCTAGTTCTAGTTAATTATATGACTGCCTGCTTATCAAAGGACCTAAACAATAAGCGTTGCTTGGCAACGGCGTGTGGCCGCAAAGTATAGCGCAACATTATGTTTATATGAGGGGTCAACATCCCATGCTCATAAAATGCTCATATATTTGTCTCTCTTCATTCCCCACGCCCCAAAAATAAATAAATACATAAATATACCAATTTTAGGAAAAGAAAGGAAGTTTGAGCAGTGTTGGTTTTATATTAACAGTTACACATATTTCAAAACGCGAAGTGTAATAACTGCAGGTTGCCTCCCTGTCAGAATGACACAGATCTCAGTGAAGCTCAAGCCCATGTTTCTCACTACATTGTAAGTACAACTTATTAAAAAGAGTTAAAAAAAGTTAAAAAAGTTCAATGCAACTAATGTCGTCTTAGTGTTATTGCATGATGTTAAAATGGGTTTACCATGAATTTAGTGATGGATTGTAAACATTTGAAATGTAGCATTTAAGTGTTTCTCATGTTGTTGTTTTAATAAATCAGACACTAACGGTGCAGCACTGTACCTCTTTATATAGGTTTTTTCCCTAACAAATAGTTTCTGCGCTGATCAGGGGGTACTTGGCTGAATTCTTTTTCCGAAGAGGGTACATTATTGAAAAAAGTTTGAGAACCACTGCTCTAGTGTGTTATATGTAGCCCTAACAAAATGAACTTTATTCAAAAGTTTACAGTCATTCTGGATAATAAAATGGGAAAAATAAACGGGGTGCTCTCTTTT